GTTGCCAGAGACTTTCGAAGCTCAATGCATTTTATGATGGCGGTGCCGCCCATATGCTGCATCCAACTTTTCACTGAAGAATAATCTAATATTTTGTGGAACTGTCGTGTATCTTTGTGCGTTATTACTGTGCGAACTACACATCGTATCGTGTAACATCACACTCCTTATCCTCTTCACTAAGAATGCATTTGCAGAATATGACGAACAATAGTTCTCATCTCAGAAATGTGGCAATTACCGTAGCGTTGGGAGCGGCTACGGCTTTTGGTCTGTACTATTTCCTCTCACGGAGGAGAATCGCGGTAGTTTAATTTGAAAATCTACTTGGTTCCGTTATCTGCAAAAAATCAGAATGCACAGCGATATGTATCAAGCTTGGAAATAATCTTGGTTCTTTGAATGCAGTGTTGAATGTATAGTTACACTGATCAACACAGATTGCTTATTTTTGAGGTGATCTGTCGCTCAAATCTCAAAAAGTCACTTTTATTAGTAATATTGCGAGAGTTGTATTTTACTCTTTACTCACATATTTTAGAACAACAAAGATCGCAGTGCAAAGAAGTTGAAAGATCTGGGTAACAAGCTATTCGCTGCTAAGAAGTATGAAGATTCGATACGAGTAAGTGCCTCTTCTGTCGTTCAGTTTCAACTTGGATGCTGTACGATAGATGTTTAAAGGTATTTTCCGAAGCGATCACTTGTTGGGATTCACAAGAAAATTCACTCCTCAGAGCAATGTGCTTCCAAAATAGAGCTGCAGCTAAAGAGGTGAATAGAGTTTTGAGATAGCGGATTATTTTCAGATTATAGCTTACAATTGAGTGCGCGTGATGTTTCGGCCTTGCTATATAGAATTGTTTGTCAGTATTCAACCAACTGCGAAATGGGAAAAGTCAATTTTGCCTTTGTTCACTTTCCGTAAAAAAGTTATAGTTAACAAGGAATTCGATTGTATATGTATCTACTCAACAGCAATGATTGAGTTTTTCGCCATCGACACCATGTTTC